AGTTCGGCATGTCGTGGTCTTTGACACCAGGAGATTGTGCTTTCGTTGGCATCTATGGCGAGAAGGATGATTTCGCCATCCTCTTGATGGAGGATGCAGATGCTCAGCAAATCTCGTTGACAGACGGGAATTTCAAGGACAAGGACTTTGAATCCAGCGAGCGAGCCCGAGCAAAGGATCACGCGAAAGATGCTGTCAAGGGAACTGTGTTGAGGAAGTCGGACTTTGAGACGGAAAATGGCTGGTCCTTCGCGGCTCCTTTGGCCCTCACGGTTTACAAGGGAAGCCCATCATCCCCCACCCCCTTGTGCGGCGTCAGCTTGGATGGGAAGGCAGGCAAGGTGATGGTTCGCAGGCTGGATGATGAGATTGCCGCCTTGAATCTTGGTGAGACCGAAACTGCTCAATATGCTGGGCCAATGGTCGGCAGCAAGGAAGAGCTTTTGGACGGCATCAGCAACCCCATGAACTGGCTGCGAGACGCTGGAGCTCGCAAACTCTCCGGCTTTAGCATCGCCAGCGTGAACAGCACCACCATGACCTCGACCACCTCGGAGGGCAGCAGCACTGAGACCGAGACCACCAGTGACATGGAAACCACCGAGGGAGGGGGAGACGATGATGCTGCAGTGCATGCCACTGCTTGCGGCTTGGTCCTTGCCTTGGCTTTGGTGATGTAAGAGACATTTCTCGAACTCATCGCCAGACAGGAGCAGCCCGGAGCAGCCTGGCCTCTTGGGTAGGAGCTAAGTTTTCCAGGACCCCTTCTACGTCGCTTCTGAGGCACTACAATACGCAAGCCTGCCAGGGTAGTGATGACTGATGACACCCAGAAGAGCAGCCTGAAGACTCACAGAGTTTGAGACTATCTGAGACAAACAAGATGTTCAATATGTGTCATAGCACTGAGTGCAGTCTGGAATTGATTGTTTGAGAGTCAGTCTTTTTCAAGCTCTGTGAGTCATTGTGAGTCCCTTTTTTCGGGATGGTTGGCAGATTGGCAGCTTTATTGGTTTGATACATTCCTTCACCTTACACGGTTGTCTTAGAGTCTAGATTTTCCTCAAAGGACACAGTCCTGGAGCTGCAAAGGCCAAATTCCCATGCACGACGAGAACTTGTGAACTTGTGAGAGACTGCAATGGAGAAGACCTTCAAAGAAGGTTTTGAAGCAGCTTGGATTTTGCTGGTGAAAAGGAATTCTGCTAGATCAATCCTCCCTGCCGAAGAACAAGTCAGATTGGACAGTTGTCCTTTTTTACGACAATGTGCGGGTTGTGAGGTATGGAAGTGTGATTTTCGTGGGGGTCGTGAGGTTGCCAGGTGTGATGGAGGTGACATTTCGCAGCAGGCGCAGTGTTGAAACGTGAGGGTTGACTTTTTGGAGACTGTAGAGAGTGTCTCAAAAGAGTTTTCTACTAAATGTATCCACAAGAGTGAGAAGAGTGAGATGCAAAAGTGTCCCAGAGGAGTGTTCTACAAGACTGTTTCGCAAGAGTGCCCCACAAAGAATCCCACAAGAGTTTCCACAAGAGTGCCCCACGAGTGTGTGTGTCCCACAAGAGAGTCCGGCAAGAGTGCCCCGCAAGATTGTCTTTTGCAGTGAGTCCAGTCTCACAAGAGTGAAAGTGTTGGACAGGAGTGTCCTACAAGAGTGTCCCGTCCCATACGAGTGTCCTGCAAGAGTGCCACACATTTTTTTTTCACAAGACTGCAAACAAGAGTGGCCCACAAGAGTGTCCCGCAAGGGAGTCAAAAAGAGCCTCACAAGGGTTTTCTAGAAGCGTGTCCCACAAGAGTGTACCACAAAAATGTCCCAAATGATGACAATAAATTTTATTGTTGATGGTTTCACTGCTTTGGCAGTCAAGTAGCCCGACTTCTACTTTTGCTGAAAAAGTGATAGTTTCTATCTTCAGTGCAGATGTCCAAGAAGTAATTTAATAATGAGCATTTATCCTTTTTAATGCTTCTATGTATGGTAATCCCATGAACAACTGGAAGTCGACCAAGAAAATGGCAGACTGGTCTTGTGAAGTGCTCATGCTAACCACACAACTTGCTCTATTCTTTCCACTTCAGGTGCATTGCTTGCATTGCGTACGGAGTCTTGAGCACTTTCTGACTAAAAAAAAGCTTTGTTGTTGTTGTTGTTGCAGCCATTTTTGCTGAAGGAAGACCTTGAGAAAGTGTGCGACGCTTTTCAACTTGTTCAGCAGCAGCGCAATGTCGTTCTTGCTGAAGTCCATCGCGTTCCTTGCGAAGTTCGGCATGTCGTGGTCTTTGACACCAGGAGATTGTGCTTTCGTTGGCATCTATGGCGAGAAGGATGATTTCGCCATCCTCTTGATGGAGGATGCAGATGCTCAGCAAATCTCGTTGACAGACGGGAATTTCAAGGACAAGGACTTTGAATCCAGCGAGCGAGCCCGAGCAAAGGATCACG